AATCGACGACACTTATTCAATCGACTACACGAATTACAACACATACAATCAATAGCAAATAATCAGAATCGAACAGACACACAGGTGATTTGAATCGTATTGATAGAAACAGGGATTCATAATAAAACTTAACTAATCGACGACACTCATTCAAATCGATTATATAGTTTATCATATACATTGACCATGACCAGAAAAAGTTCGACCAAATAAAAGGTCATTGAAGAAGGACAGAATCAATCGACAAAAAGAATTGAAAAATCAATAAAACGAAACTAAACAAATAAACAGATATAAACACATACAAAACGGAACCAACAGGACAGGAAAAATACCTCAAGAACTCGGACACTAGACGATCCTGACTTGGACTCTGACTCGGACCCTTTTGAGGTCGAACGGACCTTAATCGAGTGTTCTCAACTGAGAACACTTCGACTAAGGTCCACTGGACACCCAAATTCCTTTTCTTCGGACAAACTTCAACCTTTGGTTTTCTAGGGTTCTTGGGGGTTCGATTTGGGGTTCGAACGGTTCTGGTCTGATTCGAACCAAACCAACGGTGATTTGGTGACGAGGGAAGTCAGGGAGATGTCTGGTATGAGTTTGGGGCCGGTTGGGGAAGGTTTAGGTTTTGCTCGAATCTTCGATTGAAGATTCGAGAAGCTGGAGGTTGATTCGAGGCAAGCGGTCGACAGATCCGTAACGAGGGTGGTCAGGGGGTACCTTGGTGTGAGTTTGGGACTGGTTGGGGTGGGTTNCTTATTTTAAAAAAGATATTAATTAACCCTTAACAATAATTAACACACAAGATCAAACAAAAATAAAATCACACAATTAAACAAAAAAATGACAAAGCTACCAAAATTCATATTTTTGTGATTTTCATTCTTAAAAATAGGACATGGTTTAATTAATTCAAAAATGCACAATTAAATCCTAAATATGCATACAACATGTATTTTGGTATTTTCCAATTAATTAAACAAGATAAACATTCACAGACAAATAATTATCCAAAAGGTCACGCAAAATTCTCAAAATTGTACCCAAAGGCAATTTGTTTTATTTTTCGATTTCTTTTGGAGTAGTTCTCGTGAAGCAAAAATCACGTGCTCACAATGCAAAAAAAGATGTTCCAACGATTCTTGGGACCTTTCACATAAAAAACATCTGTTGCACAAAGGTACTCCTCTTCTCTGTAACATCTCTCGAGTTAAACATGCCTGCCTAGCTACAATCCATCCAAAACAAGCAACTTAAAGAGGTGCTAAAGACCTCCACAACATTTTTCATGGCCAATTTAAATCCCAGTGGCCTATTTGCTTCTGCAGTAGTCTATAGCAACTCTTTACTGAAAATCTGCCATCCTTACCATCAATCCAAATTTGGGAATCCATGTTGTTAACATCGAGGATCACAGGTTCCAAAAAATATAAAAGCTGACCAATTTCATCAACCTCCCAATCGTTGAAGTTTCTTCTGAAATTAAATTTCCACTCCCGCCCTGTATAACAGTCTGCTATTGTACAATTTACAGTGTAGGGAATCTATTCATTAGCTTCTCTTCTCCCAGCCAAACGTCTGTCCAGAACCTGATTCTGCTACCATCACCAACTTTCAATGCAATGAACTTCTGAAATTCAGGCCACAACTTGATTATTTGCGTCCATACTCCAATTCGTGAAAGCACAGAAATTGCACCAGGTGTCCAGAACTCATTTCTACCATATCTAGTGTCGACTAATTGTTTCCATAACTCCTCTCTATTGTCATTGTATCTCCACAATCATTTGCACAACAGACTTTTATTGTGAATTTTTAAATTTTTCACTCCCAAGCCACCAACTTCTCTATCTTTAATAACCTCCTGCCACTTCACCAGGTGAACTTTTTTCTTTTCAGAATTCCCTTCCCAGAGGAACTTGCTTCTCATGGAATTCAACTTCTTTTCTACACTGCCAGGGATGGGAAAAAGGGACATCAAATAAGTAGGCATTCCATCTAGCACGCTATTAATTAAAGTAAGCCTCCCACCAAGCGATAGGTATTTTTTTTTTCCAAGGGACCAATTTTTTAGTACATTTATCTAATACACATTGCCAGATCCTTTTATCCCTGACTTTAGCATCCAGAGGAAGCCCTAAATAAACAGTAGGGAACTCCTCAATATTACATCCCATTAGTTCTGCCAATTCATTTATAGAGCTATCTGAATTAACATTGTATATGCAACTTTTTGCCAGATTCACTTTTAGGCCAAAAACTGCCTCAAAAGCTAGAAAATCCCCCGAAGATGAAGAAGTTGCTCTCTATCTGCTTCACAAAGAATCAAAGTGTCATCAGCATATAATATGAGTGAGATGACTATCTCCCTATTGTTTCTTCCTTCAATCTTAAAACCTTTAATCCACCCCAAACTTTCCGCTCTTTTGATCATTAGACTAAGAATTTCCATCACAATTACAAACAAATATGGAGACAGGGCATCTCCTTGCCTTAAGCCCCTCTGTGACTTGAAGTAACCCTTAGGACTGCCATTAATCCACACCAAGAACCTGGCAGTAGAGATGCATGACTTGATCCACTCTATCCATTTATTCCCCAAATTCATCAACTGCAACAAATTCAACAAACAATTCCTGTTAACATGATCATAGGCCTTCTCCAAATCTAGTTTACATACCACTCCAACCTTTCCTTTTCTAAGATGATGGTCGATGCATCATTAGCTACCAAAGCAACATTTGAAATCTGTCTCCCTTTTAAAAGGCATTTTGGTTTTCTGAGATCAGTTTCCCTATCACCTTTTTTTAGCCTTTCAGCCAACAATTATGATGTTATATACACTACCCAAAAGAGTAATAGGCCTGAAATCTTTGATTTCCTCTGCACCTTTCTTTTTGGGAATAAGAGTAATGAATGTGGCATTTAGACTACTCACAAAGGTGCCTTCTTGCCAAAATGTCTCAACTGTTTTCATCACATCTTCTTTGACAGTGTTCCAACATTTTTGAAAGAAATACATGTTGAAACCATCAGGGCCTGGGGCTTTATCTCCTTCAAACATCTTAACTACAGCTTCCACTTCTTCACTAGTGAAAGGTTCTTCAAGCCAGATCTTTTCCTCCTCTGAAATTTTAATCAACTCTTCATCACTCCATTTTGGTCTCCACTTTTCTGTCTCAGCGAAAAGTTCTTTATAAAAATTGAGAATATGATCTCTGATTACATCTTCCTCCCCCCACCAAATTACCATGAATTCGAATTCTATCGATAGTATTATACCTCTTGTGTGCATTGGCTTGTTTATGAAAGAATTTAGTATTTCTATCACCTTGCTTAAGCCAAATACACCTAGATTTTTGTCTCCACGAAATCTCTTCAGCTTTTGCAATTTCCTCCAACTCTTTATTTATGACGTCTATTTTGGTATCTTTCTACTCCTTAATACAACATTGGACAATTTGATAATGATACATCATACTAAACCAACCTCTACAACCCTTACAAGGCACTTCCAAAACTCTATTGAGATCTGTCTAACCCTCATAGCTTTCCTGTTATACTCTTGTGTATCTAACTTTGTGAGTGTAGCAAAAGTTACTATTAAGAAAAGATGTATTAAGCAGAAGTGGAAGTGAAGATTGATACTCAAGTCATTCCCAAAAGAGATAGTTTGTACCTTGGGTCTATAATCCAAGGCAACGGGGAGATTGACGAGGATGTTACTCGTCGCATTGGAGCGAGGTGGATGAGATGGAGGCTAGCTTTGGGGGTTTTATGCGATAAGAATGTGCCGCCTAGACTTAAGGGCAAGTTCTACAGGGTGGTGGTTAGACCGACTGTGTTGTATGGAGCTTAGCGTTGGCCCGTCAAGAAGTCCCCAGAAGATGAAACTAGCTGAAATGAGGATGTTGAGATGGATGTGTGGACATACCAGGAAAGACAAGATTAGGAATGAAGTTATTAGGGACAAGGTGGGAGTGACCTCTGTGGAGGACAAGTTGCGGGAATCGAGGCTGTGATGGTTTGGGCATGTGAAGAGGAGAGACACAGATGCTCTAGTCAGAAGGTGCGAGAGATTGACCATGGTGGGCTTGAGTAAGGACAGGGGTAGGCCAAAGAAGTATTGGGGAGAGGTGATTAGGCAGGACATGTCATTGTTTCACCTTACCGAGGACATGACTCACAATAGGAAGGTGTGGAGGTCGAGGATTAAGGTTGTAGGTTGACAGGTAGTTGTGAGTTTCTCCTAGGTTTACCAGTAGTACTAGTACTATTCTTGTATTCTTTTATTCCTGGTTCTATATTACTTGTTATGTCACTCGCTTCCATTACCGTATTACATTACTGCTTCTATTGCTTGTTTTATTTTTATTGTTCCTTAAGCCGAGGGTCGATTTGAAACAGTCTCTCTGCCTTTATAGGGTACGGGTAAGGCTACGTACACACTACCCTCCCCAGACCCCACGTATGGGATTAAGCTGGGTTTTTTGTTGTTGTTGGGATATAACAAAAAATTAAATAAGGATGATTGAAATGGAAGAGTACTACGGGTGTACTATGCAATAGTAGATTGAAAAAGAATAAAAAATACAGAATACCATCTACCTAATCTAAGCGAAAGTTTTATATCATTACTACAATTCTCACATATCCTTAATATAATTATAAAGTTTGATATCATATCTCCATATTCGAAAAAATATTTCTTGCAAGATTCTTAAAAGTTAAGATGCTAACCTACTTGAAGAGATCTAATTTTTCATCATTCGCTCATCATACAGTTATGAATCAAACCAGACTGCTACTGATGTAAATGTGTAGAAACTTAACAATTCAAGATGAAGAGAAACTGAAACTAATATGCCATCATGCACCAGAAATCATGAAATCTTTCCAATAATTTATATTCACTAAAAGGGAAGGTACAGAAGCACGCAATGCAGATAATATGAATGCTATTATCGCTGGGAGGTTAAATATCTCCGCAAAAGAACTTTATTGACAAGACAAGTCAAAGAAGCAATTCAAGGCTGATAGCCAGTTAGTAAATAAGCTCCTACCTGTCAACGACCAAAGAAGTCGCACGTCCTGATGCAAAAGATGTGAGAACCTAGCAGTAACAGTATCCTGAGATAATTAGCAACTAGAGTGGAATGATCTTGTAACATTATGAAGATACAGTATTTTTCTTTTTCGTAATCAGGTAAAAGTGAAAGTTTCATTACTGAACAGCACAATGAAGGTTCTGTTAAGATGCTAAAAATTAAAATTTCAAGAATTGAGAAAGGCACTTACAACATTTTTGGCCAAAAACAATGCAGGAACTTGGTACTTTTCAAACATTATCTCTGCAGCCCTGTCAATTAAATTATCAGTCCACTGTAATTTTCAGTTTGCATTCAGATGACATGATAATGCAGGCACCAGATTGCCTTAAGAGAAAACATCTAAATGATAATGTTCCCTCAATAGTTAAACTTCATTTTTAGCTTTGAACAATAACTTCTTTACTTTATTCCAGTTCACGATGGACAACGTCTTTCACAGTAGACTCTTCTCATTAAGGGGAAGAAACATTTCAAATAGAGTAATTTCACAAGGTATTACACATTAAACAAGGTAAGGCTTCTATCTTGAGACTTGGGATCCATTCAGCGGCAAATGTGCAGTTCATCAGTAAACCAGCCATTACTTGACAATCCTCACTTAAGAGACAACCATGATAGGAATTTCAGGCAACGCTATGAGGACTAAAATGACCTCACAGAAAAGGTCAAGGTGGAAGGACCTAGCTTTGACCAAAAACTTGACCCAAATTTGTTCTTTAACTGTGCAGAAAGCTCAGAGGGCTATTTTGAGAGGTCAAAATGCTCAATCAACGCCACAAGAATCACTCTAAAGAGATTTTACAGATGAACTACTTGTAAAATCTCTCTTTTGCGGATTCTTCAATTCTTCTTTCTCTCTTTCAGTTTTTCTCTCCTCTCTTTATTCTTCTCTCCTTTCTCATATTTTCCCCTTCTCTTTCACCTTACTCCCTTGCTGGTGCTACATCACTGGTATCAGCCGCTCGGGTTCTTATTCATCCATTGAATATCCATGACCTTCTAATAACTAATCCTCTTACAGTGTTTTGCTGTTCTTCCTCCCTTCACTCACTGCTAGCTGTGCCTTCTCGTAGAAATGCAGTATAGTCACAGACTGCTAAATTATTCTCTTTGTTTTTAGCTGAGGACAAGATTAGATTGTTTCATGGGATATATATTGTTTTCTCATTAAATTATAATAAGCTTTTGGTGCTTATGACTTTAATATGACAGGAAGCTGTTGCAGTGCTCATTGTTTGCCCTTTGAAGTAGCAAAGACGTAGGGCCTCAGGATTAATAAATACGTAATTTTTACTTAAAAGCATGCTTCGCCCTTGTATTTTCCTAGTCTTCCTAATAAAACTTTATCACTGGAAAACAGAATTAACATAGGACGCAAAAATAGATATGCCAGCAAAAATATTTTAAAAAGATCAAGAGTTTCATTAAAAAAAATGATCAGCATATTCAGCAAAAATAAAGGCTTGAAATCTTGTACCTAATAATTATACAAGGCCCAAAAGACAAAAGGCATGATTCTTAGAATAATGTAAGGTAATGAGACTGCTAAAAGACGGATTGGATTGCTCACTTTTCCCTCTGCTGCTGAGTGTTCGAACAGGGCTCTGCAAGTAACATTGGATGCTCCTTTGGATCGATCAGTAAGCATTCCCTGTAAGTGAATGTAAGTAGACAGGGGAAAAGGTTTCTTTCAACAGTCTAAGAGCCGCATCAACTTAACCAAATGACAAAGGACGGGAAAAAGCAAAAAAGATGTTGCAGGAAAAGCATATAAAGAAGACAGTTTTTACCTTTCTACAAAATGAACAAGTAATATAACATCATCCTTATTTTATTTTTATTTTTTTGATAAGTAAATACAGCATCATCTTTATATAAAGCAGGTATTTTCAGTGATCAAAGAAAGTGAAAAACAATGCAGCCCCATCTACAAAAATACAGTGCCGGTGTCTGTAGAATAAGCATGTTCTGTTTTGGGGATGAATCACTAATACAGCTTTATTTACATTAATACAGAAGCTATATTGCCCGGATACGGGTGCAAGTGTCTGACACATGTATGGATTTAGAGGTCAGATTGTCATCTCATAAATTCTAATATTCCGGATATGGATAACAGTAGGGGTGTATATACTGGGATACAGCTAATAAATGTTTAAATATAATATGCATAACAATTACTAGTTATTTAGAACATACAAAAATAACTCAACTTTTAGATAAATTTTCGCCAAAATCCATTTTTGTATAATTAAATTTAAGTTATGTTGAATAATAATTTGTAAGTAGTGTTAAATGATCAAAGTTAGCCCAATTAATGTTGTTCTTATGGATCTTGTCTATGAATATACAATGAACTGAGTTTGTGACCCAGTTAAATCACAGTATTTTTGTGGAATACGTTTTTCCAGGTGTTTTTGTAAAGGCCCAGTCCACCAGTAATTGGCAAAGATACCCTCCTAGGGCATTTCCTCCTTTGAGTTCAGTGGAGGCTTCAGCAGACAGTAACCCTAGCATGCACTCCTCTGTTTGAGTTGAATGGTGGCTTCAAATGATGTCTCCAACTGTTCTTTTCTGTTTTTTTCCTCTTCTCCTTGGTGCTTCATCTCTGTCTTCTTGGTTCTAAGTTCACCTTTCCTTTGTATAAGTATCCACCGAATGTTGACAGAACCCAGTACGAACCCTGTAACTGTACCGGTCTGCCCTGTCGTGCCGACTCCAGTGCCGTCGATAATTGAAGGCTCCGAGCAGCATAGTATAAAAGAGGACAGTGCCAGTAATCCAAGTAGTAAAACTAAAAGAAGGGGAAAAAAGTAATGAAGTCCAATCTTGAAAGTTAATGGTGTTCTGGGGGCCATTAGGAATAATTTCTTAAAACCACCCTGCAACAAACTCTACAATGTCCTAGATATTATTAATTGCCTAAAACTATCCTTTCAGCTATTAGGAAAATTGTGAAATAGGCCAATATCAACTAAACTAAATGAGATTAAAAGGAAATTATTTAGAATTTGTCTGTCTCACATAATAATTGTACAATATGTTTCATAGCACTCGGTAATCAAAAGCAAACGTGCCAGAGCAACAAGATCAGCGGTATATCACCTTACGGTGGTAAGATCCCTCAGTGAGGGTCTCCAGGGCACTCCCAGACTAGGAGGGGAGGATGTGACATACACAGAACGACCATGCAACAATAAGCAAAGCGTATGCCACTACATACTGGCCGCTGTATATAAACAGTCACTTTGCAGTCTGAAAGAAAATCCACGAACTATATTGTGCTGCAAATATCCATGGCAACTGGGTAGTAGACTTCTTCTGCCTTTTTTTTTTGGATAAGATTTGGAGACAGAGAAATATAATACTGCATACTCATGCAATTGTGTCATATTGCTTCAAGTTGAAAATCCCCACTTAGCTAAGTTGAAAAAATTTAGAGTAACATTGTTGCCCTAATGTTACATGGGAAATTGTCTCAACATATCAATGAGAGGAAGGGCCAATTACCTGAAAGCATGGTCCCATATGTTCTCTACAATATCCCAGTCCACAACCATCCCATCCTTGATGGGCGATAGTACCTGCCCAAGATAATGCAATATCTTAGTGACAGCGATAAGGAAATGGCATCACAAGGCGATTCTATATAAACTTGCAAACTGACCTCCATGAGATCGGCGAAATCCTAAGGCTTGAGATCCAACATACAATCTCCGCTTACCCTTTGATTTAGAGTCAGGAGCAGATCCCGAATTATCCTCCGGATTATCAGGATTATCAACTTCCACTTGATCAACTGATCCAACAACCTTTAAAAGATGATAAAATCAAGACAACTTTACACAGAAATAATACAATGTAGGTGACTAGTTGAAAGAGAATCTGAATATGAGCATATATGAAGGGAAATAAATAATGATATAGACATCACAACCCAGGCGGGTTAGTTTGTGAGTGGCTAACCTGCTAAGGATATTCAAGAATTCAAAAGGACACCAACAATAATGAGGAAAAGATTTGAACTAATCTTGAAAAAACAAGAGATATAGATAATTGATTATATAAAAAGAAAATAACAGGAGAGATCTTGCTGATTATCTCAGCAGCTATCTTATGTATAAAGTTTCCTGGACATTTTGAGCTGCTTCCACTAGAAATCTTATTGTTCAAGACTAAGTAGGAAATCTCTTTTTTTGTAATGGCAGTGTCGGAACCATCTTGCATGTAACTCGACTAATCTACCGGTTACTTGCTACCTCCCACCAACAAAGGTGTAGGGTAACACTATCCACCGAAGCATAAACAGATGGAAGGAAATCACCTACCTTTTTTGCCTCTACTGTGATATTAACCCCAGTCTCTCATGGTTCATCCTAACTTTCATTATCCGCCATGCTACATCCTTGAGTGCAATCAGGGACTTCTATCATACTACTGTGATTTGAACCCCATGCTCTCATGGTTCATTTTAACTTCATTAACAACCAGGCCACATCCTTGAGTGCAATTAGGGACTTCTCTCATTGAACCAACATTCTCCAAAAGCGGGTATGAGCAATATAATAAGATAAGCCATTTATATTTTGTCTTTTTTTTTATGACCGAGAAATCCGTCTGAGGCCAACTCTCATGACCAATTGCAGCCTTCGAAACTCGGAGATAATGGGCCCACCCCTCTAATCTTCTCCACTTAATACTAGGGTTTAGTTCGCATGGCGCAGAGATTGAACCTGTGACTTTTTTTGATAAGGTAAATTGTATTAATCAAAAGGGAGAGAACTCCCGTATACAAGAAGTATACTAAAAAGTAGAGAATTTACATCAGAACATGATTCTCTACAAAAGACGCCCAATCTTCTATACAAATAGGGGTTATATGAGTGCACCAAAAAACGATCAAAAATAAAAGAATATTCTTAATATGTGAAAAAGGAGACTCAATCCCATCAAAAGCTCTCTTATTTCTCTCCCCCGAAACTATCCACATGAGAGCTAACGGGGCGAACTTCCACGCCTTTTGCTTTCTTCTTCTACGAAAACCGGCCCAGCTATATAGCATTTCCTTTACCGTGCTTGGCATCACCCATTGCACACCAAAAAGGTTCAGGATCGCCTTCCACAAAGCCGAGGACACAGGGCAATGCAACAAAAGATGATCAACTTCTTCCCCTGAGCTTTTACACATATAGCACCAACTAACAAGTGTAATTCCCCTCTTTCGCAGATTCTCAGCAGTCAAAATCACTCCCCTCGCCGCTAGCCATGCAAAAAAGCACACCTTCGTGGGCGCCTTAGGAATCCAGATCGAGGAGTATGGNCAGATCGAGAAATATAGAAAAGAAGCCTCCTTTCTCACCAACATACTCTGGTAAAAGGACTTTACGGTGAACAGACAATCGCCACGCAAACCCCATCTCCAAGAATCACAAGATGGTTGAGGTCTGTCTTGCCCATATAGCAATGTCAATAAATCTTGGAGCTCCGCAATCTCCCAATCTTGCATGTTCCTTCTAAATGAAAGGTCTCATACTACCCCCCCTACATGCTCCTTACGAATCTGTTGGACCATCAATTCCTTCTAGTTTGAAACTCTGAAGACGTGGGGGAAGGAAACCCTTAGAGTATCCTCTCCACCCCACCTATGATTCCAAAAGTTGATTCTCCTTCCATCTCCCACCTTGTAAGAGATGTTGCCACCGAAGGATTCCCAATTCTTCATGATGCTCCTCCACATGCCACACC